ACTGCAAGTCCAGGGAGAGTTGTGGACCCCTGGGTAGCTTGCTGGGGTCAGAGGCCCTTAGGTGTAGGGCCAGGAGGTACCCTAGGGCCTCTACTGCAAGTACAGGGAGAGAGGTGGAGCCCTGGGTAGCTTGCTGGGGTCTTAGGCCCCTAGGTGGAGGGCCAGGGGGCACCCTGGGGCCTCTACTGCAAGTCCAGGGAGAGAGGTGGACCCCTGGGTTGCTTGCTTGGGTCTTACACACACACACAAGGGAAACAGACACACACACGCACACACAAAGAAATACACACAAATACAGACACAAACACAACACACACACAGAAAGAGATGAACACAAACACAAATGAGAAAAAAGAGACACAAACATACACACATGAACACACACACACACACACACACACACACACACACAAAGCAACAGAGAGAAAGACACACTCATACAAACACACAATCTCTCTGTCTCTTTCTCTCAAACACACACACAAACACACACACACACACACACAGAGAGAGAGAGAGAGAGTTTTTCACACACACACACCATGTATTTCTCATATGTTCAGTTTAATGTAAACACTACAAACACTTCGTCCATCAGTAACAGAACTGATAGAGAATCACACACAATCACTGAAAATAAATGAAACACACACACACACACACACACACACACACACACACTGTAATCTTTATAAACCACGGGTCTGTTAAACTCAATATGTGAGGCTCTTTCTCAATGACACACACACACACACACACACAGACACAAGGAAAAAGAAGGAATATTCTGCATTCCTTGAACCTAATGTCAGCTCCGGAGATCAGCTGTAGTCACACACAGCAGCACAGAGAGGACTCTTCACCTGCACAGGTAAACACAGCTGTGAGAACATGATAAGAGTCTGTCTGATTTACTGAACGTGGAGGAAAAACGGGAGACTACCAGGAGAAATAGCTGCTCAATACACACATGTGGCAAGGTGTGTGTATGTGTGTGTGTGTGTGTGTGTGTGTGTGTGTGTGTGTTTAAATAATTCATTCATTCATTCATTTTCCTTCGGCTTAGTCCGATAATTATCAGGGGTCGCCACAGCGGAATGAACCACCAACTATTCCAGCATATGTTTTACACAGCGGATGCCCTTCCAGCTGCAACCCAGTACTGGTAAATACCCATACACTCCTATTCACACACACACTCATACACTACGGCCAGTTTAGTAATGAGTGTAAACCTGTATAGAAATCCTCACTCTGATTGGCTGCTGTCATGTTGCAGTTAGTGTTTATATTCAGATCTAGCCAATAGCAGAACAGCAGTTCCTGGGGGGGCGGGGTTAATGATTGTATCTGATTGGTCGAATCTAAATAAAAAGCTGATCCATGCAACACAAACAGTAGACGCGTAATAGAAATGTGACGCATCCCTTTACTGTTTTACTGCAGTAACAGAAGGATCATAACCACACTGTAAACCCAGCGGTCACCTTTACCAGATGAAATGAGTGCAGTTAACTCAAAATGGGCTGGAAGTTAATTCTGCTCATTTGAAAAGAGTTTTGAACTCAGTGTTGAAGGTAGAGAGTTCATGAAATACCTCATTACTTCAGCTTAAATGGAGTAAGTTCTCAGCACTCGTATTGATTAGTTTAACTCAAATGTTTGTAGTAATCGGTTTCCTCAAACTGTTTGAGTTGCCTTAACTTATTGGGTTTTACAGCACTCAGCTGGTTTGAGTTCTCTTCATTTAATGTGCTCAAATTGCTTCGATTACTCAAATGTAGTGAGTTCACAGCACTGATTATGGATTAGTTTTTGAACTTTAATGGTTTGTTGTCTCGGTTTCTTCAAATGATTTGAGTTACTTTCACTTTCTGGGTTTTACAGAGTAGATCATGGATAGCCCAAGGCAACTAAACTTTTAAGTTTAACCTAAAGCCGATAATGTTTGAGATGTGGACAGAGAGTCAGAGATTATAAAGTCCTTGTAGCTGGCGGAAACACTTCAAGACTTTTTTATGAGGGAAACATGAATAGGAAAATGATTTATGGACAAAAACAGACAATACACACACACACACACACACACACACACACACACACACACACACACGCACACACACACACGAAACCCGTACAGCGTGTGTGAACATGTGTGTTTGTTTATAACATGTGTCACAGAGATTCCAGAGTACTGTAATGGAAACACACACACACACACACACACACACACACACACAGAGAGAGAGAGAGAGAGAGAGAGAGAGAGAGAGAGAGAGAGAGAGAGCTAAAACACAACTTATAACAGACATTTCTACTTGATGTAATCAGACACACACACACACACACACACACACACACACACGCGCACACACACCTCTTACACAACCTATAACATGTACTTCTACTGGATGTTTCTAACACAATTATGCTTTCCCCATTGTGTCATTATTATATTGTAACGATCATCTCTGCCTTTCTGAACTTCAATGATGTAAATAAGACTAATTGGTTAAAGACACATGACTTTATTCACATGTCCACATTCACAAAGAAAACCTAATAGGCCGTCTAATTTCTAATTGTAGGATTAAGTGTAATAAACTAATTCGGGATCTTATCCTGATATTATATACTTGTATACTTGTACTAATATTATCATACTTGGTTAAAATCACTGTGTTGTAAAATATAAAAAGCAAACAATAATGAGTCAATTACTATAGTTGGTCCCACTTTATATTAAGTGGCCTTAACTAATATGTACTTACACAGGAACTAAAAGTTTGATACAATGTACTTATTGTGTAAATACATGTATTTACTGTGTACTTATGCTTGGTTAAATACCTGTATGTAATTACATCTGTAATTAACTTTTGTAATTACATTTGTAAATACACTGTTGACCATCCCTTACACCTTAACCCACCCTTAAACCAACCCATACTACCAAACCTGTCCATAACCCAACCTCTATCCCAACTCAAAAGCACCACAAGTGTTCTCAAATACATTATAAACACAGTAAGTACATTGTATTTATTTTTTGACGTAAGTACATAGTAGTTAAAGACACTTAATATAAAGTGGGACCCTATAGTTAATCATTTAAACAATATAAAATATAGTTTACATATTACATTATCTTAACTAATTATCTGATTATAACCTACTGTCTTTTACTAAACTGTTGGCAACTGTTAGTCATATACCTGTGTGTGTGTGTGTGTGTGTGTGTGTGTGTGTGTGTGTGTGTGTGTGTGTGTGTGTGTATATATTTATACAACAGTTCTGTCTGGTTCTCAAATCTGATTGGCTGATAGCCGTGCGATATTCTGCAATATCAGAACTCCTACAGCCTCTTTACCCTTTGTGTATTACTCCGCCCACATACAGCCAGCAGAAAGCAGACACTACAGATCTACAGATGCTTGCTCAGCTGTTTAACTGTCTGCTTATGATTTGAATCCGGAAGAAAGTAGTTCCTCATACAAAAGGGTTTTTGAGACTCTCCATGTTTGTTTTTGTTTTTATGTACACAATTATGCCGTCAAACTGTTGTATAAACGCAATATTACACTCGTAGCAGTGCCATATGGCTGAATATACAGCCATATCGCACTGCTACGAGTTTGATATTGCTCATATATATAAATATTACCAGTTAATTTGTTTGTAATGCTAAATTTGTTGCAACTATAATTACAACAGATTAGCAGTACTTTATGGTTTGAAAACAATATATTGCTTACTTTAAATAACTATAGTATTTAATGTGGGAAGTCATTAATTAAAAAGTTATTAGAAAATTAAGCAAATAAACACTATTAAATTGCTTGAGTAGAATATTAATATAATGTCATACATTTATTACATGTTAAATATTTTTATTACATATAAAGATGTATTATCACCTATTAAACCTGTGTAATTTAGATTGTTTAGCGAGGCCAGCAAACGAGTATCTGCTATATAGACTCTGTCAGATAATAATGACTGATCACATGATGACTGATAGAAAACTGTTCAGTCTATTATATTGACTGGCGATCGGAAACAACACTCCCCATTCGCTCCTCTTGATCACAATATTT